GACCTGGTGGGCCACAATGACACGGCCATTGTGGGCATTTACATCCTGCGGGATGACCAGAGGGTCAAAATCATCATCAATGAGATCCCTGACAAGGTCAGGCAGTTCGAGGAGGAGTTCATCAGCCTGCTCTCCAACATCACGGGTGCCATCGTCAACACGGATGATGTGCAGGTAACAGTCTGACTTGGAGCTTGCTTCTTTGAGGGGTAGATGGCCTTCCACATGCTGTTTGGGAGGTCTCCTTCGAGGGAGTCCTGCCTGGATAACCATAGGCACCCCTGGGCTGTGAAGGTGATGGAAACACCCCAGGCTGGGGTGTATTGAAGGGGTCCAGACTGATGCTTGAGGGTCTCCTGCCACACATGCACACCTCAAGGCATGCTCAGGAGGAGACTCCTCTCCCAGCCTGCAGACCTTGCTGTCTCTCCCCAGTTCCACGTTGACAAGAAAGGCCGGGTGAACTTTGCCCAGACGGAGCTGCTGATCCACGTGGTGAACAGGGAGACCAACCGCATCCTGGACGTGGAGCGGTACGTCCCCTGGCCCCCCTGGCTCCATGGGGACCCTGATTAATGTCCAGGTGCCCAAGCAACCCCTCTCTTCCCAGGGTCATTCAGATGATAGACGAGAACAAGGAGCAGCTGAGGAATCTCTTCAGGAACTACAACGTGCTGGACGTGCAGCCTGCCATTACTGCCCGGGCGCCGGACGACCTCTCGGCTCTGCAGGTGAGGGTCCAGCTGGGCTTGGAGGAGCTGCTCACAGCCCTCTGGGGGTGGTGTCCCGTCCCATGGGGACTGCTCAGTGCTGGAGAGATGTTCCACCCCTGTAGCTTGGGGCATGTGAGAGCAGGTGCTGGCCACATGCCAGATGTTTCCCCCTGCATCTGTCTCTCCTAGATGGCAATCATCGTGCTGGCCGTCCTGCTCTTCCTGGCTGCCATGCTCTTCATCCTCATGAACTGGTACTACCGGACAGTGTGAGTAACTCCTGGGCTCTGCCCCGCACCTGCAATGTCCCCTTAGACCAGGGGGACCAGCGTGGCTTCTCCTGGCCCTGGAAATGCCAGCAAGCAAAGGAGGGCATCAGCTTCCCAACGTCTCTTCCTCCATGGTTTTAATACTCATGGTATTAGTACACCTCCCCTCAAAGCTCCCTGCCCTTATTTAATATTTGACATTTAATGCACCCTCTGTATGTAGAGTCATTGCAAATCTGTGTGTCCTTCTGCTTTCTAGCATGTTCCTTATTTTCTACCCCAGTTGGCTGTGTTTCTTTTGCAGGCACAAAAGGAAATTGAAAGCCATCGTGGCTGGCTCCACTGGTGAGCAGTGTTTGGGGTGTCCCAGCTGCATGGGAGAGTGGGGTGCATGGAGAGCATGGAGGGGGGCCACAGGGAGACATGGGGGATATCCTGGGGTGTATATCAGAGGTGATCCTGCCCAGCGAGGTGTGATGGTGGGAGGCTTTTCTCAGCTTCAAGCTCTGTGTTACCTGCCACACCCCACCGTGTTTCTCACTGCCTTTTTGGTTCCTCTTCATCCCTCCCGGATAAAGAAGTGTCACCCCATGGTTTGCTGCTAAGCCCACCAATGTGCTGCCCTGTAACTCTCATCCTTGCCTTTTGCAGGGAACAGAGGCTTCATGGACATCATGGACATGCCAAACACCAACAAGTACTCCTTTGATGGGTGAGTGCCACCTCCTGGGGCTGGAGGCTGCTCCCAAGAGAGGGCTGCCTGTGTTTCAGAGCCAGGAGGTGGAGACATGATGGCTCTGCTCTGCTCTGCTCTGCTCTGCTCTGCTCTGCTCTGCTCTGCAGGAGCATTACTGATCCTGGGACACATGCTCCCTCTGAGAGCTTTCTAAGCTAAAAAATATCATTCTTTCATTTGTGACTCCATCTCTGCCAATCCTGGCTAGGTTTGGGCTAAGCAGAGATAATGAGCAGGGTGTGACACCCATGTGGATCCAGAGCAGCCAAATTCATACCTGCAGAGGGCAGGAGGAGGCAGTGCAGCCTCAGCATCCAGGCTCTGGACGGGGTTAGGGATAACGCCGCTCTTTGCCTGCCCTGATGGCTGTTCCTCCCCCCGGGCAGGGCCAACCCGGTGTGGCTGGACCCCTTCTGCAGGAACATGGAGCTGGCGGCGCAGGCGGAGCACGAGGACGACCTGCCGGAGAACCTGAGCGAGATCACCGACCTCTGGAACAGCCCTGCCCGCACCCACGTGAGACACGGCCCCGCCGCCACGCCGTGTCCCCGCGGCTGCCACCCCCGGCAGCCGCTGAGCCGCTGTCCCCTCCGCAGGGCACCTTCGGCAGAGAGCCCTCCGCCGCCAAGCCCGAGGATGACCGCTACCTGCGGGCAGCCATCCAGGAGTACGACAACATCGCCAAGCTGGGGCAGATCATGCGGGAGGGACCCATCAAGGTGAGCGCTGAGGGCAGGCGTCCTGCGCCCCGGAGTCTTCTTCTCTCACAGCTGCACCTTCCAGATTCACAGCGCCAGAGGGTTCGCTCCAAAAAACGCTGGGATGGAGCCAGCCTCCCTCTGAGCAAACCACGTCCCCTGGATAATGCAGAGTCTCTCCCCCTCCACCCAGGGCACTCTCCTGAAGGTGGTCCTGGATGATTACATGCGCCTGAAAAAGCTCTTTGCCCAGCGGATGGTGCATAAGGCCACCGCCAGTCAGGGGGACCGCTCCTCGGTCTCGGAGGTAGAGGGTGTGCATGGCTCTGGGGAGGTGCTTGCCGTGCCCTCTGGGGTGCAGTGTGTCTTCCTGGCCCCACAGGCTGTGGTCACTCCCTGTGGCCATGGTCCTGTCACCCCGTGGTGCCCACACTCTCTGCTTGGTCAAAACAAGCCAGATATCAGTTTCCCACTGCTGTTTCTCACTGGTTTTCCAGGCTGCTGGTTCCCCACAGTGACTCCTGTGCTTCCTCTGATCAGCACACAGCACCTTCTCCCTTGGTCTTTCTGACCCCAGGAGAGGACTCCTCTTTGCAAATTGGGCTCTGTCCATCAGCTCCCATTTCTGCCAAGGCTGGCCAAAGCTGTGGGGGATCATCTTCCCTTCCTTCTGCTTCTCTAATTTTTGCCTCAAAAACACAGGGTTTTGAGGCAAAAAATGCTGGGATGGAGAGTGTTGGTGCAGAAGGGCTGGTCTGAGGAGAAGAAACTCCTCCTGTGGCCTTCTACCTTTCATAGAGGTGCAAAATGAGGGGCAACGAGGGCAGAGGACAGCAGTGGGATGGGAGACGCCTTTCAGCCCTTCTGCCCTCCATCTATCCATGCCCTTATTCCCCTTCAGCCCTATCCAGTCTTCCTTCATCTTCTTTCCCTGCCTGCCTCCTGCCCCTCCACCCTCATACAACCTCAAATTCCAACCTGGGTCCAAACTCCTCCTTTGGGAAGGCCACTCTGGGGACAGCTGCAGGACACACCACCCATCTGGCAGGTGGTGGCTGAGCTGGGGCATCCGCCCAAGGATGGAGCGATCCAGCTGGAGGCCATCTCCTGGTGATCCTCATCACCACGCTCTGAGGGTGCTCCAGAAGAGGAGGGCCCTTCCCTCTGGCTGGACTCCAGGGAAGCCAGGAGCTGCTGTGGCCACGGTGGTGACTCCGTCCCTCCTCCGTGTCTCTCTTGCAGCTGATCCAGAAGGAGCTGGAGGACGACGAGGAGGAGCGCAGCCCCAGCCAGGGCAGCCTGCGCTTCCGCCACAAGCAGCCCGTGGAGCTGAAGGGTCCCGACGGCATCCACGTGGTGCACGGCAGCACGGGCACGCTGCTCGCCTCCGACCTCAACAGCCTGCCCGAGGACGACCAGAAGGTGCTGGGTCGCTCGCTGGAGACTCTGACCGCCGACTGCGGGGGCTACAGTGACCACAACGCCCGCACCGAGTCGGCCAAGTCCACCCCCCTGCACAAGATGCGGGAGGTGATCATGGAGAGCCCTCTGGAGATCACCGAGTTATGACGAGCGGTGCTGCCGCTGCTGCTGCTCCTCTAGGCGAGCCGGGGCCGGCGGGGATGAAGCACAGAGCAGGGGGGCCGTGGTGGGGGCCGGGGGCAGCCCCAGACCGGTGCTTGGCCCCCTCATCCCCTGCAGGAGTCCAGGCTAGCCGGGGCAGATGGCTCCGGCAGCCTTGGAGAGCTTGGCCCCGGCAGAGGGCTCTCAGGACCGGAATGCTTTTACTCGCCTGTCATTTATCCATGAAACCATTAAATTTTTTTTATTTTTCTTATTAAAAAAAAAAAAAAGAACTTTTTTTTTCTAAAAAAAAAAAAAGAAGAAGGAAAAGAAAAGCTAAATGAATGTGATGAGTCCAGACTGGACAGGGGGGGAAGGTGCAGTGAGGATGCAGATGCCACAGCATTCCCAGGCACAGGCCAGGGACAAGCAGCTGTCACACCTCAACCACAAGCATGGGGAGGGCCAGGGAAGTGTGGGGAGAGACCGAATCCTTTTGGCATTAATGTCACCTTTCCAGTAAGGAAAGACCCAAAAAATTAAAAAGAAAAAAAAACCCAACCCAAAGACATTCCTCCATTTTGCTGGCTTTACCAAAACTTGTTGCAATGTCGAAAAAGAGAGAGACTAACTGGGGCTTCTGGATGTCGAGTACTCGTGCGTGTCTTTTGTTGCCCTTTTCTTTCCCCTTCTCTCTTGCATTTGGGTTTGTTTGTTCGGGGGTTTGTTTCCAGTCGTAACCTTGTGGAGAGTTTCGGGCACGGTCTGTTACGGGACTCAGAAATACACTGTCTATGGCTTTGGGTAACCTGTCTGTCGTCCTTCCTGCCCACATCCATCAGGCCCAAACCCCCTTAGGAAGAGAAGACCTTCTTTTAACTCACTCCTCAATCCGTCATCTTCACGAGATGCCACCCTGGGTGTTGCTGCACCTTGGATTTTGGGGGAAGCATTAAATGTTCTCCAGGTTTGCCCACACCCCCATTGTAGCGCCCAGCACAAGGAGGAAGGACACAACCAGCCAGGCTCATGGGAAGAGTTTATTTGTGGTGGGATGCTCCCATGCACGCCCAGGATCAGGCACTGCAGGCATCCCCCCGATACGGCGGGGAGGGACGAGCCACCCTGCTGCCCTCACCACCACGGCTGGGTCACCACAGCACCCCTGGCAGGGATGGGCGTGCGAAAGGAAATCCTGGCACCCAAACTCATCCATTTCATGTTCAGGTGAGGCTGCCGCCAGCCAGCAGTGGGGGGCCAGCGTTTGGGCAGCAGAACCCAGCCCAGCCCACAGGGACAGATCCACGTTGCAGGATCTGAGCCATACGAGAGGTTCAGGGTGGGATGGAGAGGTAGAGAAGGGATTGGGGATGGAGACAGAGGTGGGAATAGAGGTTGGGGATTTTGCAGTCGCCCTGAGAGACGTCAAGGCCGAATCCCTAGTCCTGAAAATATTAACGAGTCCCTTAACCTGATTTGGAAATCCAAGCCCCAGGAGTGGAAGAGGAAGCGGCCGAGGCTGGGGTTCCCCGCAGCCCCGCCAGCGCGCCGAGGCCGGTCGGCTCCTGCCATTGCCGTCTGTGCGTGCAGGCACGTCCCGGGGAAGGGAGCCAGGATCCCCAGCCAAACGGCAGAGCAAGTCCAGCCAGCTGGGGAGACGGCTCCTAGTTCCACACGTGGCGCCGGCAGTGTGCGACAGCCTGCGGGAGGGACGGGGATGGCGTGGGATGCAGGGACCACCGGCACGGCACCCGGGGAGGGGACACAGCTGGCACTTACGCTGCACTCAACCGCCGTGGCCATGTTCTTGCACCAGTACTGCGGGCCCCAGACACACGGAGCTGAGCCCAGGAGATCCTCCTTGCCTGAGTCACAGGCTTTGATTTTCTGCATTGCAAAGGGAAAGGGTGGGAGGGAGAGGGAGAAAACCTCCATGAGGGATGTCTGATCACCCCAACCCATTCCCAGCCCGCAGGCTTGGACAAAGGAGGCCCATCTTGGCCCGGGCCGCCCCAGGGATGAGGACACTCACAGTGCAGACGAAGGTGGGGTCCATCATCTGCACGAAGAGCCGCACGGCCGCCGGCTCGTACTGCAACACCAGCGCCTGGCACTGGGAGGGAGAGAAGGGGTGAGCCCGGCGGGGGCGTCGGGGGTGGTTTTTCTGGCCCGGGTGTGCCCCTTCAGCTCACCTTGCTGGTGAGCGGCATGGGCAGCATGGCGCAGCCCTTCTCCAGCACCTCGCCCAGCTCCTCCAGCGTCTCGTTCTTCAGCAGCTCGTTGTCCAAGTAGGTGATGACGATCTGGCAGACGTTGCAGAAGGCGCCGGAGCTCACCGCCAGCTGCTCCAGGGATTCGGCCCCTGGAGGACACGGCCATCAGCACATCAGCAGCCAGCAGAGGGGATGCCCTGCTGCCCGGGTCGGGGTGCCAGCTCACCGTGGCGGGCGTCCCCGCTGCGGGGGCAGCAGTGCACCATGGTGCAGACGGCCGCAGGGTCGGTGGCCTCCAGCAGCATGATCACCACGGCCTTGCCGTAGGAGTTGACGAAATCCTTGCACTGCCCGATGACGCCGTGGGGCAGCATGTAGCACACCTTCTCGATGTCGTTCACCAGCTGTTCCTGCGGGCACAAGGCAGAAGAGGGAAACCCCCGGCTCCCTGCTGCCCCTGGGCCCCCCGTGCCAGCCCCCAGCAGCGGTGGGGCTCACCTCTGTCACGTTGTTCTCCAGGAGGCTCTCGACTGTCCTCACGGTGAACTGGCACATGTCACACAGCGGAGTGCTCCGCACCCTGTCCTGTCAGGACAAGGGGGTGGGGTGCATGCTGAGCCCCCCCAGAGCCACCCTCATCCTATTCCACCATCATCCCCACGTAAGGCATTCCCCACCTTGCATAAATGGAGGTGCTTGTGGAAATAAAATACAAAATGGGGCTCCCCCTTTACAGTGCTTGGATTTCAAGGAGCGCAGCGCAAATGAGGGGGTCCCCACTTACCCCCAGCGTGCTCAGGAGCTGCATCACCCTCTCTGTGAGCAGCGTGTGGAGGGGCAGTGCCGAGTTGGAGGCACAGAGTCCCAGCTGGCCACACAGCTCCGTTGGGTCCTGGGGAGAGAGACATCCCAAATCAGGCAGGCTTTGAGCCCTGGGAGGGGAATTTCAGCACAGCAGGGCATGGATCTCACTTACCTCAGCCTGCTACCGGTGGAGGGGCCAGAAAATGGCAAGAAAAAATGAAAACAAAACATAATTTCAGCAGACGGAAGGCAGAGAGGAGGGAAAAAACAAATTAATATTCTGTAGGAATATTAGGCAGTGAAATTTAAAAAAAAAAGGAGGAGCATTTGCTGATGAGGCCCCTTGGCTGTGCCCCTCAGGCCCCCAGCTGGCACCCAGTGACCCCTGGCACCTGAAGAGCCCTCAGCCTCTTACCAGGTAGTGCAGCAGCTGGGCAGCCGTGTCCGTGTACTCGGCCAGGGAGCGCTTGCACTGCGGGAGGGAAACAGAGTCAGGGCCACACCTCCCCGGGCAGGCACCTGCAAAAGGCGCTGCCATCGGGGAGGAGAGGGCAGCCCATCCCTGGAAGTGTCCAAGGCCAGGCTGGAAAGAGCTTGGAGCAGCCTGGGACTCTGCCCATGGTGGAGTGAGATTGTCCCTAAGCCCCTCCCAGCCCAAACCCTTGTGTGGTTCCCTGCTGGCCCCTCACCAGCTGTGCCAGGTCGGGTGTCAGGGTCTCGCAGACCCTCTTGGCGTGGCCCACCAGCGCCCAGGTGAAGGCAGTGTTGGTCCCCAGCGCCTCCTGCATGGCCGTCACCAGCTGCAGGCAGTGCCCACACACCTCCTCCATCTCCTGCAGGATAACAAGGGCAGGGACACGTCGGTACCCACAAAATAAAACCAATCCCCCCACTCCCAACCTGCATTTGTAGGGCTGGGATTTAAATGCTAGCTGCAGTTTGGGGCAGCACTCTGACTGGCATCTCTCATTTCCCTCCTGCATCCTGAAATATCCCCCCAAACTGGCAACACTGAAGTCATTCTGGCAACAGCCAGAAGTCATTTCAGCTCTGCAGAAATTTTAGGGGCTTTCTCTAATTGTTGTTAAATAGGTGATACTTTTAAGGGGATTCTCATCCCTGAGCAGCATTAGGATGCTGGCACAGATTGTCCAGAGAAGCTGTGGCTGCACAATTCCTGGAAATGTCCAAGGCCAGCTTGGATGGGGCTTGGAACAAGATGATCTGTAAGGTCCCTTCCCACCCAAACCGTTCCACGGCTCCATGACCAGCACCACCCTTGCCCGTGCCACGGTACCTGGGCCTCGCCGTGAGGCAGATCCTGGGGGTGGAGCAGGAGGGGCACGTTGGCCATGAAGGGGGCAATGAGGTCAGCAAAGTCCTGGGTGGGGCCTGTGGCAGCTGGTGGTGGCTGCTGATACTTCAAGGTCCCCGTGGGTCTGTTCCGGGGCTGGCACAACCTGATGGTCCCACACACCACCTTCGGTTCCGACTGGGGGAGCAGAGGGGTGGGGTGGGGTGGGGGCTTGAGGCTGCACCTCCCCCATCACACCCAGACCCCCACCCTGGGTGGTTTCCCTCTCCATCTTGTCCTTCAGATGATTTGTCCCAGGCTCCAGGACCATTCTTTGCTCCGCAAGCCCCCAGGACATCCCAAACTGTGGAAAAACCCAATCCCAGGGCTTCCCCTGCGTTACCAGCACTTGCTTGCCCAGCTGGACAAGGACGAGGATGCCCGTGTCCACCATCCTCTTGCACTTGACAGACCAGTCCTGGAAGGGCAGGTACTGGCATCTCTTATCCAAGAAGAGCCTCAGCTTCTCCTGGGTGACAGAGAGAGAGCTCAAGGCCTCAGTGGGGCTGGCGGGGAGGAGCATCAGCCCCACTGCCCCTTCCCACCGAGACCCACCTCAGTGCGGTTGTCCTGCAGGATCTTGCCCACCACAGAGACTGCCATCTGGCACAGGTGACAGGGGATCCCCTTCTGCTGAGAGAGAGGGGGGACACGTCGGGGTGCTGTCACGGCACCCAGACCCTCGGAAGATCCCAAGCCTCCACCCCAAAAACGTCCCAATGGGGGCACCCATTGGCTTCTGCCATTCGCTCTGCAGACGCGCTGCTGCTGCGGGATGCTGGGGTGGGTGGGCAGGAGTTCTCCTGCCATCCCCGTGCTCTGGGGCGGATGGGCACCTCTCCCGCAGCCCCCCGCATTCCCAGCTCGGTTACCCCCAGCGCCCGGTCCCACGCCGTGAGCCGGCAGAGCTCCAGCGCCCCGCACTTGGCCGCGGTGGCCGCGTCGCGGCACCAGTCCTCCGGCCGCTCGCCACACTCGTGGAGGGGGCTGGCCCCGGCTGTGGGAGGGGAGAGGAGACTGTCAGCCCTCAAGGCACCCCGAGACACCAAAGGAGTGATCCTCCTCACCCTCCTGCTGTGATTCCATCTCAGTCCCAAAGTCGTGGAGGGGGCTGTTTCGTTAATAAATTATTTTTTAAGGTCGGTTTTGCCAGGCTGCCAGCTTTTCCAATGGGATGTCACAGGGTCAGAAGCAAAGGGAATTTGGGGCTCATCCTCAGCCTCTCATCATCCTCTGACACGCTGCGGAGGCGGCTGCTTATAAAAGCAGCAATAAATCTTGCAAAACGGACAAACCCGGGGCCGCACGGTAGCCAGATAATCACGCCACGGCTCCCGGCAACGATTGAGCAACGCCACTTTTGGTGGGGCTCTTTTGGTTTTATTTCCTCCCCACGACAGCATTTTCTCCCGGCTGTAAACCCCCGGCGCGGCAGCGGCGGCGTGGCGCAAGAGCAGCGCTTTAATTGTCACCTTGGTGTGTCAGGACTCATTCTGGAGTGTTTGTTTGCACCGGCAACTGTGCCCACCCAGGATGCGGCTGGGGAGGAGCCGGCGAGAAGGCACAAGCCAAGCCCTTGGCCGCCTTCCTTTGGCCGGGAGCTGCTCCGGGAATTTGGGGGCAGCAGCCGAGCAAAGGAACAGACAGACCCTGCTGCAGAGCTTTAGGCAAGAGGCGTTTCTAAACCAAGCACAACCCTCCCCGCTCCAGCTTTTATCCCCCAGCCCTGTCTATGATTTTGCAGAGCAGGAATAAAGTCAAAGGCAGAAACTGCTCCTTCCACCCAACCCTGCCCTTATCGGGTTTCTCCCCAAAGCCGCTTTCCCTGCGCGCTGGATTTTGGCAACGCCTCCAGCTCATCCATGAAACTGCAGCGTGAGGAGCTGATGGAAGGTCCCTGGGGCTGGGGGTTGTGGGGAGAGGGGTCCCCGGCCCCCCACACCATCCCCGCCTGCCCAGAAGCGCTGGCGCAGCCGGCGGGTGCCGGGTGCTGGTTCAGCCCCGATTTCCCCATCGGGCTGACAGCAGCGCGGGGCAGGCGGGCCCCGGGGCAGGGCGAGTCCCCCCGGCTTCCCAGGCTTCCCACACACCTTCCCAGCTGCGCCGTGCCGCGCTCGCCGCATCAGCTGAGAGGGATATATTTATGTTTTTCAGCCCCGGCATCAGGGCAAACAGGAATGGCAAGTCAGGGGAGGCATTAAGGGGCAGCCCCAAAACCAAGGAGGCGGGAGAAAACAACCCCACAGTTTTTTTCTGAGCATCTCTCGCGGAGCTGTGCTGGAGCCCAGACCCCGTGGTGGGGTCGGGAGGATCTAAAAGACACGGGTGGTTTGGTCCTGCACTTCCCTGGCTCGCAGAGATCCTCAGCCCAGCACTTACTCCTCACCCTGCTCAAGCTGAAAGTCAGGCAGCAAGTTCTGGGCCAGAAAGTAATTAGGACTAATCATAACACCCAGCAGCTGAGAGCGGGGGGAGCTTCTCGAGTGGAAAGCACTACCACGGGGTAAGCGACTGGGGCAGCTGGTGTCCCGTGAGCTCTCCTGCACGTCTCAAAGCCGCGCTGGAGCGCCTCATGCTGCCCGGCACACAGGCAGCAGCGTTATTCAAGGATGCCATTTCTGGGAAATAGCAAAGCCGCGATGCTCCCGTGCCACTGCGGTTCCAGGCCAGCCACAACTACCCTATTCCTGTCTGCCAGGCCCGGGGGATGGGGTGGGCTTCGCTCAGGGGGGATGCAGCACCGAGCTCCGGCTCTGGCAGGGCTGTGCCGGCGTTCCAGGGAGCCCCGGAGCGCCCCGGCCGAGCCGGCAGAGCCTGGCGAGCCGGTTGTGATGTAAACCCCGGGGGTGGCAGCGTGGGCCCCAGCGCCCCAATTCCCGGCCTGGCGCACGCCCCTGTTACAGCAAGAACCATAAATACACTTTTCCCAGCTCGCAAAGCCTTCTCTGCAAGGCTCGCGGGGTCCCCGCCGGCTCCCGGCGCAGGTGGCACCGCAGGGCTCGGACGTGCCGAGCACAGGTGAACTTTCCTGCTCTGCCTGCTGCTGGCTGGAACACCTGGACACGTCCCCCCCAGCCTGGGTCACGCGTGTGCACCCACAAAACATGGGCACGTCACGCTGGGGATGCCCAGTGGGCCAAGCCTGGGGTAACTGGGGTGCAAGGGGGGCTCTTCACTCTAAAACACAGGGGGGTTGCTTGCAACAGCAGAGTTCAACTTATTCCAGGGGAGATTTCCCCAGGAAGCAGCGATCTGCCCTCAAGCAGGAGCAGGGGTTGGAAGCAGGCCTTCCCCAGCTGGGTTCCTGGGATGGGCAGGGGATGGATGACTAAGGCACAGCAGCAGAGGTTTGCCTGCAGGAGGATTCACTCGCAGATCCCCAAGTGCCAGTGCTAAGAGGGCTCCTGAGGTGAGTAGAGAACATCACCCCATCACCCTTCCAGGAGCTCAGCACGCCCCAGCAGAGCCAGCTTCCTGCCTCCTGCATCTCCTAGGAGGACCCTGAAGAAAAGGGCAGCTTCGTGGTCACGCTGTTGTGACAACCAAGCACCTTCCCCCAGCTCACACAGCAGCAGCCAGGCCCCACAACCAAGGGCAGCAGAGAGCAGCCCCTCTCCCCCACTCTGTCACAGCTTCCCTCCTTCCACACCCCAGCACACCACCAGCTGTGCCTGAATCCCAGAGAAGGGAGGGAACAAACCCCTTTTGCCCTGAGATCACCTTTAAAGGCAAAAGCTCCAACTCTCAGCTCCAGGTGGGTAGCACAGACAGCGGTGCCACCTTCCCCAGTTCTCCTCTGCCCAACTCCAGCACCAGAGGAAGCACATTATACCAAAGCTGGGAACAGTTTTGGGACTGAGCAGGTTTTTCTGGAGCGTCCACATCCTACCTACCTCCAGGCCTGGCCTTACCTTGGTAGGAGCCCAGGCACACAGAAATGATCAGCACCAAGCCACTCCATTTGCACTCCATGCCGTTCCTAAGAGTCCTCAGTGGCTGGCTCCTCTCCTCTGCTGCTCCCAGACTGAGGAATCTTGGATGGGCTGGGAGAAGCAGTGAGAATCCACACCTACGCAGGGCAATTACCACACCCCTCACTTTATGCCTTGATTATAAAATCATCACCAGGGAGGGAGGGACCAGAGGCAGGCAGGTATTCCCAGGAGGTCAGAAGCAGCCCAGAACCTGCTGCTCAGCGCTAACCTGGCTGCAGAGGGTGGGCACAGGGAGAACCGTCCCGGAGCCACGTGACAGAAAACATAAAAGTGTCATTCAAAGGGGCTTTCTCTGCCTCTGAATGACATTTTTATGCTTTATTTGGGATCAGGCAGGGAATGAGGACACAGGGGAAGCCACGTTAGGTACGAGTCAGCAGGGAAGGCTGGTATCAAGAAGTCCCTCTGGCCTGCGCAAGGCAGCGATTGCAACACGGGGCTGTTGCCTCACACCAGGCGTCGTGTTTGTCCAGGGAAGAGAGGCAGCAATCCCAGGCAAGCCTCTTCCACCTGCAACCCTGCTCAGCAGAACAAAGGCTTGATGGGACACGCAGCAGAATGGGAACCTGAATCCATTCAAGTCCCAGATTCCCAGGGACACCTTGGGATGTGCCTTCTCCTGGCCAAGCAGCCAAGGGGAACCTCAGCAAGAACCTCTGCCATGGAGAAAAATGGAACACGCGAATTTATGGGTTTACAGAAGTTTTTATTGTTCATTAAGGAAGCTTTTGTGCAAAAAAAACAAACAAAAAAAAAAACCAAAAAAAGAAAAAAAATCAAGACAATGTTCTTTAGAAAGCAACTGCACAGTGTCCCCCCAGCATGACTCAAGCAGGTTGGGTGCCACAGTCCACAGGAAGGGAGAAAACTAAAGGGACTCCCAGCAGCAGCACAGGACTTCCCCTGGTTCAGCTTGCCCAGCACGAGTCCTATTAAAAACCCCAGGAAAATAAAACCTGCCAAGCTGTCAATGCAGCCCCACCTGCCCCCAAGAAAGATCCACACCATCCAGTTTAAAACACCAAATGCCACGCTCTGTGCCGTGGTGTCACACAACCCATCCCTCCAGGCAGCACTGCCCAAGGGACAGAGCCCATCTCCCATCTCCTCCATCTGGGATACACCACCAAACCACTGCACAAGCCTGCCAGGACAGAAAGCTGCAGGTATTTTATGTCTTATGGGGAAATCTTCCTTTCTTTTCCTCTTGTATAAAGCCATGAGTGCTTCAGTATTCAGCAAACAGGGGAGAACAACCTCTGCTGCCATCTGTCAGCACTGGCCAGGCTTTTAGTATGCACACAGATCAACTAAAAACCTGCAGTCCAGTGGTTTTCCAATGAAAAATACTCTACTTGCTGCTACAGCATTGTTACTGGAGCTCCTGCATGCCCCACACACCACAGAACAGCAGGAGTTACCAGCATCCTTCTGAACAGGACTGGAATTTTCAAAGCTCTGCATCTGCCCAGCTGCTCCTTCCCAAAGGTCTCCTCAGAGCTACTCCAGTGCCCTGCTTTGGGGATTAACTTGATCAGAAGTGCACACCCAATGCAAGGTCTGTCCCAAGCAAGGGATTCTCACCTCCAAGGACCCTTCACATCAAGGGCCTGCCATGTTCCCAGGGTAGCAACCTTGCCTTGAAGGCTTTTTTTGGGGAGGATTTCAGGCCATTTAAGTGGAATTTCAGAGAGGTGTGAAAGGCAAGCTGCCAAGTGTGCCAGCAGAGCTTTAGTGCCACTTTAGTGCTCCTACCACCTGCCATCTCTGCTTGCTGCATTTCCCAAGAGAAATGGGAACTCGGGATAACAATTCCTACCTCCAGTTACTCAGAAGGGCGTCAGTGAGAGTGGGTGGGCAGCAGTGGGAGGTGCCCCCAGGCCTCACAGCACCTCTCAAGTTTCAGATGACTGAAATATGCTGTGAGAGAAGAAGCAGATCAGGGAACAAACAGGTTACAATAAAACCTGTTTTCCCACAAATTCCACCCTCAGTGCTGAACTCCCTTTGACATATTCCCAGCTCCTGCTGACTTGATCCTCCTCCATCTTCCAGTGACAGCTCATGCTTCCTCCTCAGCACCCAGCTGGCTGCTTGTGGGAAGCTGCAAGACCAAGCAGAATTGAGCAACTAGGATAAGAAAAAAGGGAGTCATTCCTCAGGTACACCCGCATGCTTCAGGAAACTGACACCCCACGGGACTGGGCCTGGCAGCAGAACAGCCGTGCTGGGACTGAGCAGTGCAAGGAAACCAGAAGGATGTGATCAAAGGCTGAGGGAGGGTTTTCCTTGGCTATAACAACAGCATGAGCCACAAGCGTGGTCACTCGAATGCAAAAGGCTGATCACTCCAATGCATCTTTTTAATTATCAGTGGCTTTGAAAGCTAGCTGGGCACACAAAGTCCACTCCTCTGTGTCTGCAGAGCTTTGAAAATTCCAGCCAAAAGGATTCCCGGATTCAACATTATCCCTTAGAGTTCCCATACACAGAAAATAAACATTTCAGCCTGATGTTAAAAATGCAAAGCATGTAAAATCTTCCCAATGCTGCCTACAGAAAAACATTTGAAAGTTTAGTCGCTATGTTGCTCTTTTTTTTTGAAATTAAAAGATAAGAGCCTTGTCTCATTTCACCATCTCTGTCATTCCTCCCAGCACATAAACACTTCAGCCTACCAATTTAAAAAAAAATCTACAACACACTGACTATTTTTAGGAGCATAATGGGTTAAACTGTACAATCAGAAATATCTTTGTTAAGTCAACAATGAAAATCTGATCCTTCAACAGCAGCACTGCTACAGAAGAGTTACAACAAAGGAACTTGAAGGTCAAATTGTTAATGAGGCAGAGAGGAGGGACAGGTGAGATACAGCTCTCTGCCAACCTCGGCCCACATTTCCTAAGAGCCATGGCAAACTTTCAGAACTGGAAATTCTTCTTCTAGTTCCACACATGACGTTTGCAGTGATCAACAGCCTAAAGGGGAAGAAATACCTGATATTAGTGGAAAAAAGCCAGT